ATTCACACCACAGAAATTAAAGATCGACTGACACACAACAGACACACGAGTGGCCAGAGTGTGAACAGTTTAACTAATTGATCACTAATCATTAATGATCTGATTGTACAAAGCAAAATAAAATTGATGTCACCAATATAAAGCTGTTGTCATGGATATGCTGAGTGAGTGAGTTCAATCTCTTGATAGATATAAATTCTTAAGTAATCATTAATGTCCATGTGATTGATCATCAGTCATCATCATGTTTGGATTCCACCTACATCCTCTCAGCCAATCACAGCACAGGATTCTCTGTCAGCAGCTCTTCAAAGTCTTACTGCAGAGAGAGAGAGAGAGAGAGAGAGGCGTCACTGATGAGGTCATCAGCAGGTGATCACATGATCAATCATCAAAACGCTGCTATATTCACCTGAACCCTGGATAAATTCATTATGTGATTATATTTAAATTCATATTTTGTAATCAATAACTGATCAAAGTTAACCATCGAGAATCGTGATAAGAAATAGGACACCAACATAAATTAATGTTGTGAAATGATCATGTGTATTTTATCATGAAAAATAAACAAGACCGATCATTGGAATATTGATCATTAATAACTCTAATTCTAAAAGTTGTCTTTTTTCACTTTGCACTTTTTTATTATAAAATCTGGAAACATGAACCCACCTGCCACTTCAATCAATGTAATGAAATGTGCCAAAATACAAAAGCCATTAATTATCCCTCACTATTTACATTATCCAGTAATTATCCAGTACCACTTTATATCATACAGTAATTATCCAGACGCTTTTGGTGTTTTTCCCTCCAATCAGCAACAAGTAGAAATTTCAGTTTTTATCTAAGAAAGTCTTCCAACACGCTTCATCGACATGAGTTATTATTATTTTGTTACTGATGTTTGTGGTAAAACCTTTGGACACATTTTTACCAAACTGTTTGCAGGTGAGAAAATCTGCTGCCACTCCAACAGTCAAAGCACCAGAGAAGAAGAAGAGTTTAAATGACGAAGACGATGCAAAGAGAAGTTTGACAGTTTATTAATAGATTTAAAACAACAGAAATAAACATGTACAGTTTCTTTTGATCGATTGATTGATGAATTGATCAGTTTCATTGTTTCAGAATCTCTGATCTGCAAACAGACGGTAAAATGAGTCTGAGGGAAAATCACCTTCATCATCATCAGTCTAACAGCGTACTTCCTGTCCGTCTGTCTGCTCATCTGTGAACTTCAAAATAAAGGTCTTTAAATAAACATCAGCAGCTGAATCTTTTCTTGAGAAACTTCCTGAGGAACAAACAACCCGGAAATGATCCAAAATCCGCCTGTAAATCTGGTTAATCCAGATTACAGGGACCTGGTCTGGTACAGGACTATAGGGACATGGTCTGACAAAGGACAACGGGGACCTAGTAAAGCTCCTGTTGGATTGTGGGAGATCAGAATATGAACCAATCAGAGAACAGATGATGTCATTGAAGCCTGTTTGGGAACTCGGGCCTCAAATTCTTCTTCAGAAAAGTTTTCAGTCAGGACAGAATGTTCAGGAACCAGGAGAAACAGGAAGGAATCAGTATGTCAGCATTTCACATCGCCATCACTGAACTGATAAAGTCCAGGTGTCACGTTATCTAATCAATAATTCAATCAATCGACCAGTGTCTAGAAACCACCATGTTTGGCTTATAACGAAGTCAACTTATTTTGTTGTTAATGTATATTTTGTGATTCTCCTTATTGATTCATGATGTGTCATCATTACTGTCACTGTGACATCACTATGATGAGTAACTTGGCAAACTGTCTCTTTCATGAACTACAAAAAGATGATGCTGACGAGATGGCGAGTGGAAACGCTCACACCTGATGAATAAGCCATACCCCCTGATCACCTAACACTGGTTACCCTCAGGTTCCACCACCTCTGCTGACTAGTTAGCCTCAGGCTCCGCCCCTTCCAATCAAACAAATACGTCAGTTCGTCAAAAAACTGTCCCGGGCAGAGGCTTCTCCCACTACCTGAAGAGGGTGAGGCAATGATGGGGGTTAGAAGCGTGTGGGGTTGGGGGTTGTTTTATCAGATGCTACGTCTCGAACTGCGTAAGCAGGGCTCGGACTTCAGGCGTTAGCTGTTTGGCTGCACTAGCGGCCTCTGCGATAGCACGACGGTACGGCCCCTTTCTCTTCCTATCGAAGCGAGACTGGAAGGTCTCCAGGAAGGGGGACAACTGGGCGAGCGGCAGGAAGGAGGTGGTGGGGGAACCGAACCAGGAGACACGCGCCTCCTGCCGCACCGCCAGTCCTGTGTCACCACGCCGCACGACCGTGATGCCAAGCACTCGAGCCGGCCACCAAGGGAAACCGTAGATCTTTGCCCAGACGATGTCACCTACGCACACAGTCCGGCCATCTGGAAGAGGACACTTGGACACAGACTTAGAGAAGACAGTGGAAGACGAAGACGACGAGGACGAGGAGGAGGATGTGGAAGACTTACGACGCCTCTTCAGTTCACCTCCCTCCTCGTCCTCCTCGCCACCGCCAACCTGTGGCTCCTCGCTGTCAGATCTAAGGGGAGGGATGATGGGTGAGGAAGAAGGGGGGTAACGAGGAGCTAGTAAGGAGGGAGAGGGGGCAGGAGCAAGAAGGGAGGATGAGGAGGGTGGGTCTCCAGTGGGCGGGGGGTCAAAGGTCTCTGAGGAGCCACACTCTGAGTGGGATGAGTCCAAGGACGAAAAGGAGGAGGACGAGGGGGGTGGTGGTGGAGGACCCTCATCTCCCCCCCTTCCTCCTCCCTGATCTGTACAGACTTCATGTGTCTCCACGACAACACTGACTGCACAGGTGGAGGAGGGGGGTGCTTGAGAAAGAAATGGCAGGGCGGTAGGCTGGACCAGGTCCGATGTGGGGGCAGGGTTTAAAGCGTGTTTGGGAGGCGATGAGCGAGTGCTCTGTTTGGGTGGGGTAGGTGGGGAAGCCTGGTTATCATCGGTACGATACCTTTGAGGTTTGAGACGCATTCTTGGCGGCAGCGGCGTGTGAGAGCTGGAGCTGACAGCGGCTCCGCTGAGGTGCTGCAGGCGGCGGGTGAAGTGGACCTTCTGGTTGTGGTTCTGCAGGGTGGCAGCTCGAGTCACAGCCTTGGTGCGGTCTTGGCTCTGACTCTGGTTCTGGTCTTTGGGCTGGCGATGTGGTGGAGGCTGGGAGCTCCTTGCCAGCTTCTTCAGAGCCTGCCGCGCTTTGGAGCGATCACTGGCCGAATCTTTGGCCAGTGCCTTCTTAGAGTTCAGCTTCAAACGGATGTGGCCAGACGAGGATGACGACGACGAAGATGATGTCACGCCCCTCAGCACACGACGAGAGGATGATGACATACAGATCCCTGATGATGCCCGTCTGTCAGTGGCCGTTCTTCCACCTTTGTCATCGCTCTTTAGCCTCTTGACCTCTGAGGAGATTGGTCCCTCAGCCACCCTCCGCCGCCGAGACGCCTCCTCACACCTCAGATCAACTAGGCCACGTCGTGCCTCCCTGTTCCCGCCTGATGCCACCACGCCTTTGCACTTGTCACAGAGCACTTGGCGGGGGCGGAGCTTGATGGCGTTCATGATGGAGGTCGGCTCCTCGCAGCGATAGCGCCGCTTTGGCCGTCTGATCTTTCGTGGCAGTGGCTGAGGTAAAGCCTGGTTGTAGGTGTCCCTGATGAACAGAGGAGGAGGGTACGGCGCCCCCTCCTGGAACAACGGTGGTGGTTTGGCAGTCCAGGGGTGATGGGGAGGGGGGGTTGGGGTGCTATTGGTGGCCTGTTCCTGTTCGCTGGACGTGTCATCATTGGTAACAGGCGTTGACTGAAGAGATGTTTGAAGTCGACTCCGATTATCTCGTTTTGGAAACACCGTGATCGGGATTCCGTACGGTCCAAACCTAAAAAAAACACATACAGAGTGAGAACCGTAAAGATTCAAACACAGCTGACCAGGTTTAAAACAAGAACAAATCATATTCAATCTTTCATCTGGAGGTGACATTACAAATTGCAGGATATTCTTATTATAAAGGTTTGATTTGCCATCGCCATCAGAACTGATGCTTCTCCGATAATTTGGGAAATTAATTATCCCAAAGAATGAACTACTGATGCTACATCAAGCCTTGCCACTCCAGACCACCAGGCAAGTACTATAAAAAAACATGATGATATATACAAATAATTGTTGTGTTGTGTTCACTTGGAGATTAAAAACTACACATGTCGACATTGAGGATTTACAGAAAACACTGTCAGGTTCATATTGTTAATTTGACAATTATGAATTGATGGAAACAGGAAGTGAAACATCAGCAGATGTAGTGAGTAAAAATAGAATTATAAACATGAAATGAAACGAACAGTTTAACTTTAAAACAACCAGAGAGCAACATCTTGTTCAACTCTGCCGCAGAACAACCTTGTTTATCTTCAGACTCCATCAGCTGACCTGAATACTGCTCACTGATTGGCTTCAGAAATTAATAAGGTCATGTTCCAGTTACTTCTGGCTAGTTTGAAACATGATAAACCTTTAGACATCAGACGATTCATGGTTTCATTCATAAGCATCATTAAGACAAATCATCTAATGATGTTGGATCATGTGATCGGTCACTATAGAAACCAATGATCAAAGTATTTAGAGAGCATGAAGATCAGAAGTCGACTGATCTGAGCAGCCTTAAATTAACGTTTATTTTCCATGATAATAACTTTTGTTATCTTTTATTAACTATTTACACAACAAACGAATTAATAAATGATTAAGTTTAAAAATAACTATTATCGATTCGTTGCACAGCAGATTGATTGATCAATTTATTGAGTGTGATGACCGTCTCCTGTCACGACGTCATGTTCATATAATAAATAATAAAACCGATATTTAAATGTTTTCACCTTCTGGAAACGTCCATCAACACCCCGGAAAAGACCTTCTCCCCCCTCCGGAAAGACACCACCAGCGCGTCATCGATGACGTGGTCCAGGCAGACCCGGACCTCGGAGCCGGGACTCAGGTCCTGGAAGGAGACGAGTGGACCGGGTTCGAGCAGGAGGCGGGGGGATTCCTCCTGCTTGTCCGTCATCAGGCGTCTCTTAGGGGACCGGCAGGGGGGGGACGAGTCCAACAGGCCGCGAACCGGCGGTTCCTCCTTCCCCGCCGAGTTTTTAATGTACCCGGTCTCCGGGTCCAGTCCGTCCAGGTTGACTGGGCCCGACAGCCGGTCCGCGTTACCATCCAACAGGGCGACCTCCGCGGGCCCAGGCCTCAGCTCCGGTTGGACAGGGACCGTGTATCCCCGGTCTCGTCCCACTGTCTCGGCCCGGTCCGTCGTCACGTTGGTGGTCGGTACGGCGGGTTCGGCCAGAGACAGCCCGGCCTCGCTGACGGGTGACGGAGCCGGGAAGGAGTGCAGGAAGACGGCGGAGGGCTGCGGGTCCGGAAGGATGCTGCGGTACACCGCCTGGACAGACACGTTCCCGCCGCCCTCGGGATCTCCCGGTAGTCCGGGAGAGATCCGGTCCATGCTGACCCGGTCTACCGGGAGGTTGTTGATCAGTTCGTCCCTCACGACGTTCTCACACAGAGCTTTTCCCGCCGCGGGCTCCAGCTCCGGCCTGACATGGCGGCGCTCCTCCCCATCCCCTCCATCCTCCACACGGACAACCAGCAGCTCCACAGCCGGGCCGGACTCCCGAGGCCCCTCAGGCTGCAGCGGGACTCCTGGAAGTCCCAGGCTCGGTTCTGACGGGCCTTCGTCGTCCGTTGCCGGCGTCGAACCTGTCGAAACCGCCGCAGCTCCTGGCTCTGCAGCCACGGCCGCCATTTTCTTCCGCTGTGACCCACGGAGCTTTGTCCCGCCCCTGACGACGCGGCCAGATGCGCAGGCGCTCTGCCATTAGCTGGAGCGCCCGTCAGTTAAAGGACGAGCGGCAGAGCGTCCTCTCTGATTGGCTGAGTCTTTAAGGCGTCAGATCGCCACTAGGGGGCGTTAGTCTTTATAAGAAACGAAAACATCAGGAGTGAAGATACATTTTCAGCTGATCAATCAATAATTGATTTATTAAAAAAAATATC